GTATTTGTATTTTGAAAATTTTTTGTTATGTTTTCTTATCTTCATCATTGTATAATTTTATTATTGCTTATCTCCGTTTGCATGTGAGCAAAAATGTATTTAATTCTGTATTTGTATCCACTTCCCCCCCTTTTGGTTACCATTTGTGCTTATATCCTTCTACATGTAAATTCCATTGTTTTGAGTATTGATTTACGTTTGTAAGCCTTGTGTTACACTTGTCGGCACCCAAGGAGTCTAACTAGAGTCTCAAAATAATAATAATAATTTTAATAATAAATTAATAATTTTAATAACAAATTAATAATTTTAATAATAAATAATAATTTTATTAATAAATTAATAATAATTTTAATCATAAATTAATAATAATTTTAATCATAAATTAATAATAATTTTAATCATAAATTAATAATAAATATTATTAATATTAATTAATTATTATTTTAATTATAAATTATTTTAAATAATTTTAATTAGTAATTAATTTAAATAATTTTAACTAATGATTAATTTAAATAATTTTAATTAATAATTATTTTGAATAATTTTAATTAGTAACTATTTTAAATAATTTGAATTTTTAATAATTTTAATTAATAATTATTTTTGAATAGTTTTAATTAGTAACTATTTTAAATAATTTGAATTTTTAATAATTTTAATTAATAATTATTTTTGAATAGTTTTAATTAGTAACTATTTTAAATAATTTGAATTTTTAATAATTTTAATTAATAATTGCTTTGAATAGTTTTAATTAGTAATTATTTTAAACAATTTTAATTAATAATTATTTTATATATTTTACATTAATAATAATTTTAAATATTTTTAATTAATAAAAATTTTAAATAATTTTAATAATAAAATAATAAATTTATAAAATACAAAATAATTACATAAAATATCAATTAATATCAAATAATTATTTCAAAAATAAATTTATTTAATTTTAAAAATAATTCAATGAATGAAAAATAAAAGATGATCGATAAATCGAACGCTGACCTCGCGCATAGCATGCAGACGATAATCCAACAAGGTTACGGATTCCTTACAGGAAATTGAAACTTAATTGTTTAAAAGCTAAGCATGAATTTCGATGGCTAATTTCTCCGAATTGACTGGACATTCGGCGGAATTACATTGAGGGTTGAACACCCTAAAGGAGTACTACTATTACAACAAGTCTTGACTGCAAATGAATTTCCTTAGTCGTGCCCTCCCATTGTGAGATTTAAAAAATCATGAACATTGTTGTTTTGTTAAAGTAAACAGCTTTTATTGGTTCGAAGAATATATAAAATTCCGTTGCACTACTCTGTTAAAATTGTCGTACTTGCGTCATTTAAAAAATGTCGATTAAAAATAAATAGTTTTAAAATTTTAATTTAACCTAAAACTTGTAGCTATAAATGTAGAATGCTTACAAATATCAGACTGAAATTTGCTTGGTTGCGTTGTTAACGTATCTAATATTCAAACTTTTGTGTCATATTCTACATGCATATATCTGCTTAGATCAGTGCATGTAATGAATTTATTTTTTTTAATTCAAAATTTTATCTCAAAGCAAGCACGCAAACACACCCACAAATATATATATATATATATATATATATATATATATATATATATATATATATATATATATACAAAAAGAAAGGAGAAAGTGTTTTGCCCCTACATTTTTAGCCAAATTACGACAGTGAATACGAAGTCGACACATCAATTCTTAGCAGAGAACCATTCTTGGACCAACCTGGCCTCATTTACCGGTAGCTTCGCGTCGCATCGCGTGGTCGCGGTAGCCTAGTGGTTATGGCATCGGGTTCGAGTCCTGGTGCCACTAAAGACATGCGGAGTAAAAAAAGCTGATGCTCGTTAAATCTGTCGACGCTCAAAGTTCTCCCGCTGACGTGGTGTTGTACTTAGGAGAGGGGGTGCAAGTTCAGGTGTCGTCCTCATCACTTGACCATGGTTCAAAATCATGACGTTTGTCACCAGTAGCCCTCGAGTTGTTTTACAGTGCTACGTTAGGCCGCGGTAGCCGAGTGGTATAGGTATCGGACCGTGGCTTGCTTTGTCACGAGTTCGAGCCCAGTACCACTAAAGACCCGCCGTGTAGGGCAGCGATGCACGTTAAATCTGTCGAGAGCTGAAACGTCCTCCCGTTGGTGTGGTGTGGTAGTTAGGAGAGGGGGGTGCCAGCTCATGTGTCGTCCACGTCACTTGACCATGGTTCAAAATTACGTGGTCCGTCGCCAAAAGCCCTCGTGCAGCTGAACAGTGCGACGTTAATATTCAATCAATCAATCAATCAACAGTGCTACGTTAATACAACTCGCGTCACAGCGCTGCTGTCACTTATTCAGGATGGCCGTCGGACTTCACACATCTACAGCTTAAGAACAACATAGTGTTCCGAACCCTTTGGATGCAACAAGAACGGACGTACTTTCAAATTTAGCCCACGTAAAGGGGGAAAATGTATTCGATTTGAGAAGTGTGAGATTGTTGTAGTGTGAATTAGAGATATGGAAGACATGGTTACCCTCCACAACAATTCTTGTCCACAGAACCACCGAACCACTTTCTGATTGGCCTCGTATATAAAATAGAAGAAAAACACCGAAAAAAAATTAAATGATCATTATTATTTCAGAGTATAAAGATCTAAGAACTATCAGAAAATACGTTCAAATTATTTACAATAAAGGATCATAAAAAGAAAAATATATTCAAATTTTTAACATTCGGTTATATTGATTGATTGATTGAATATTAACGTCGCACTGTTCAGCTACACGAGGGCTTTTGGCGACGGACTACGTAATTTTGAACCATGGTCAAGTGACGTGGACGACACGACAGCCAACAGATCTTGCATGTGAGAAATGTTCCTTCATAACTCGTTTTTACACCACAAAAAAAAAATTACATAAGATATGTTTGTATGAAATATCTATCAGACATACTTAAAATTGCAATGGTCTGATTCGTCCATTGCGATTAAATAAAATTCAGAAGATAGTTGAGAGGCAAAACGAATTGAAACCATCATATGGAGTGGAGTTAGCCGAAACGCAACATGTGTGTGCAATGAAGAGTAAGATAGTAACTGTTTATATGAATACATGTGGCATCATCCTCAACTGAATTGTGGATCAAACTTACGACACTTATCGAAATATGAACTCTTTCATCTGCCGCAATACAAATTAAAAGAAACAATTCAAAGGTAAAAATGGTACAAAAGCAAAACAAAATAATTACAACACTAAGCTCATAATTTTTTTTCACCTGTTTCACTAGAATATATGAGGACTTAGTGAAATTTTTTCAAGATATATTTTGGAAATATTTGTGAGATTCGTTAAGTGCTCATCATTAAGATGATAATTGGTTTTATGCATACTAATGTATATTCCATCTACGGCCTAAAACCTATGAAAATATTTAAAACATTTCGGTAATGGACCTTTGAGCGAACCAAAACTGTTAACTATTCCATCAACATGGCTATAAACGTAGATTGAAAATAATTAGTTAAAAAGGCAATTAAAGCGTTTCTCGTCTGAAAGCAAGAGTCAAGAATGAGATGATTTTAGAGTTCGTGCTGTATTTCCTTACACAAATGGAAACATGTTTAAGAAATGATGTGCTCTTTTTTGGGAAATATTATGCTTGAACAAACACTCATTAGTATAATCTGAAAGTAGAGCAAATAGTTTCCCAGAAGGAATCAGAACCTTCTTAAGACAATTCTTTTCGAAGCCGTGATCGTATAGTGGTTAGTACATTGCGTTGTGGCCGCAATAACCCAGGTTCGAATCCTGGTCACGGCAAATGTTTTGTTTTCATTCAGTTTAAATACTTGTTTCAAATTAATTTTTAGAAAAATTTTTAAATTGAAATTTGATGCATATTTTTAGCAAAGCAAAACTGAATTACAAAAATTTCATCACACCAGAATATACATTCCAACTGCTATCCGCAGCCCCAAAAAGGAAAAAAACAACATTCGAACTTAATCTCATGAATAGTATTAATGCAGACTTTGCGTTACACTGCTTTACATTCCATCTAGTGCCCTAAAATCGTTGGGAAGTATTTATAACATTTCGTAAGGGAATAAGAATAGGGGATTTGTGTGCACCCTCCAGAGTATGAGAGAACAGCGACCTTCTATTATAAGTTTTCAATAATAATAGTCTCCATCTTGAAAAAAAAATTCTTGTCGAAAGTTAATCAGAAAAACATTGCTGCGGATTATCAGTACGAGTGAGATTTAAAAAAAATCGTTAACATCATTTTGTTAAAGTAAAAAGGGTTTTTTTTCGCGTTTAAAGTATATATCAAATTCAGTTGCACAACTCTTTTCAAATTATCGTACTTACGTCATTTAAAAAACGTCAATTAAAAATAAATAATTTTAGAATTTTAAATTAACCTAAAACTTTAAGCTATGAATATAGAATGCTTACAAGTATCAGATTGAAATTTTCGTGGTTGAGCTGTTAGTGTATATAATATTCAAAGTTTTATGCCATTGTACATACGCATATCTAAATTAATCAGTGTATATAATGATCTTTTTTTAATTCAAAAATTTCTCTCAAAACAAGCACGCACACTACCCACAACTATATATATACAAAAAGAAAAAAAATCTCTTCTCCCTATATTTTTAGCCAAATTACAGCTGTGAATACGAAATCGAAACATCAATTCCTAGCGGAGAACCTTTCTTGGACCAACCTGGCGTCATCTACCGGTAACTTCGCATATTTTGAACTTCTCCCCCTCCCATACAATTATAGCTAGTTATACGAATGGAAATAAACACCGTGTTTGACGAACTGAAATTTCTTTCAGAAATTAGTACTTTTTCGAAATTGATACACTTCAATAACCCAATCTGTGGCTTGTTTTTTTAGTAGAGCAAGTTTTGTTTCCTAGAAGGAATAAAATATTTTGGGACAATTTCGTTCGAAGCCGTGATCGTATAGTGGTTAGTACATTGCGTTGTGGCTGCAATAACCACCCAGGTTCGAATTCTGAACATGGCAGATAATTATATTTTATTGCTTTAAAAAAAAACTTTTGAAATCCTTCTTAAAATAAGTAATTTTTTAAATTAAAATTTAAATTCGATGTAAGCTTTTAGCAACAACAAATTGAATTTAAAACAAAATTTCATCATAATAAAATACATTCGAATTTTATAAATCTAAGCGTTGGGAATAGTTATAATGCAACCCTATTTACAGTACTTTATATTCCATCTAGTACCTTAAATCATTGAGATGTACTTATAACATTTAGCAATGTAACAGTAATAGCGGAGATAGAATGTGTGACCTAACGAGTATGAAGTGTGACCCTAAAATTTTACAATAGCAATCAATGGCGAACGCCGATCAAAATAATATTACTATATTATAAACTTCTATTTAGATTTTTCATAAATCATGAGCATTGTTATTTCATTCAAATTGATAGTTTTTATTCTTTCACAATATAAATCACATTTCATTTTACTCAGCTTTTGAAGAGTTATACTTAAGTCCTTTAACGTAGATTAGAGAAAAAAGTAATATTTTAAAATCTTAATTTCGCATAATGTGACTTAATTAGACGTATGTGGAATGCTTAAGGTATCCGACTACGTTCGGAACCGTGATTTTTGAAAAGCGTATAAATGGATAATTTTCATGATATTTAGTGTCACTTAGATTAGAATAAATGTATAAAAATGTTTTAAGGACATTTTGACACAAAAAGTTATTTAAATATAATATTTCGGCTAAAAATTAACTTAGAATAACCTTTTTACAAAATGTTCCTCTTTTATAAAAAATGCTTCTAAAATAATAATATTTCGCTTATATAAAGTAAGGACTTCTCCTGAGAGACTGAACTAGGATTTCTGAAAAATTCACATTATTTGCAGAGTTACCACCAACCGAAATAGTGATCGGTGTTTTTTTCTTAAAATTGCTCCCCTCTATTGTCGTAAAATATGGATAAACCCACTTCTAAGTTATATACTTCGAAAATTCTAGTTGAGCCTCTGTACAGAAGTCTGAGCTATATACAGGCAAAATATTATTATAATAGAAGCATTTTTCACAAAAGGAGAACATTTTGAAAATGGGTCATTCTATGCTCATTTTTTTGTCAAAATATTGTACTTAAATAATTTTTTTTGTAATAATATTCTTAAAACAACTTTATATATATTTTGTAATCTTAATGACTCTAAATATCATAAATATTATCCATTTATACGCTTTTGCAAAATCACGGTTCCGAACGTAATCGGATAACTTAATTTAAATCAAACTTGAACTTTCTTGGTTACGCTGTTAACGAATATAATAATCCAAGTTTTGTGTCATCACATGTATACATACATTATATATATCTGCCTCGATCTGTAATGAATTTAGTTTTTTAAATTCAAAAATTGGTCTCAAAGTCATATGCTAAGATATATGAAGAGAAGTCAGAACATTTTCGCCCCTTTTTCCTTTTAGCCAAATTATAGCTATAAATGCGATAACATATCCGTTCATAACGGTGAACTTTTCTTGCCTCAGTTCAACCCTATGTACCAGCAGCTTTGCGTCACGCCAACGCTAACGCTTACTGAAAATGGCAATTGTCCTTCACACATCCACGTCTTCACAACGAAGTGTGATTCGTTTTCTACGCAGCAAGGGATGGACGTTTATCCAAACTTACAGGGAAACGTAGCCCAAGTTTGATGAAAAGTGTCTCAATTGAGAAGTGCGAGGCAGTGGTGCTGTGAGTTCACAAAAGGATGTGAATTCTCGATGTGGACAACGTGGTTATCCTCCATGACAGCGAGGGCACATGTGACAGTCACAAGTGATGATAAACTCCGGTCATTTCACTTGGAGATTTTCGACTACACAATCCGGAACTCTTCCCTTGTGATTCCCACGTTTTCGGTAGGCAGAAGTTCCTGGCAGGACAGCGTTATACAACGATGAAGTAAAGATAGCAATCCGACGGTAGTTACACTTTCAACCACGCGGGCAAATTCTACCAAGGGCATCTCAAATTTAAGTGATGTGGTGGGACAAATGTGTGAACCGGTGTAAAAATAGTGAAAGGTATATAGAATAGAAAGTATATTTGAAATAACCTTATGTGTACCTCAGGTAATAAAAATAGCGGCAGATACTTTCTGATTGGCCTCGTATATAAAATAGAAGAAAAACACCAAAGAAAAAATTAAATGATCAATATTATTTCAGAGTATAAAGATCTAAGAACTATCAGAAAATATGTTCAAATTATTTACAATAAAGGATCATAAAAAGATTTCATTTTAATTTGGATATATTCTTGACACGATTTGGTTGAAAATGATTTGAGTAAAACTGCAAATTAATGCAATTTTTGTACTTTATCCTCTCATTAAAATAACTCATTTTACAAATAGAAATAAAAGCCTTACTTAGAGAAGATGTAAAATTTTTTTAAAGAAACTGCATTTTTTTGAAAATTATATGCTTCACTAACCAAGCCTTTTTTAAGAAGAGCAAATTTTGTTTCCCTGAAGGAATTAAATACTTTTAAAGACAATTCGTTGCCTAAGCCGTGATCGTATAGTGGTTAGTACATTGCGTTGTGGCCGCAATAACCCAGGTTCGAATCCTGGTCACGGCACGAGATATTTTTTTGTCTTCATTTTATTTATAGATTGGTTTATATATAAAATTTTTTTCGATTGATAATAATTCCATGTATAAAGTACTTACATTTTAATTAAGTATTTGTTATTAATAATTTATTTTATTAATTAATATTGATTTTTTATTCTACAATTTATTTTTTACTGTTTTTTGTTCCCGATAAAATAAAAAGAACATATTTGGCGACGTATTGGGGTATGATAGGGGAATGATGGTGGTCTTTCGATCCTTGACACTGTTTCCCCTTTCAAAAATTCCTGTGGGCGTCATTGGTTTTGATATATTAGTGAATTCATAATATCTTTTGTATTCCCCCTCCTTCACATTCCAGTATTTCGTCGCATAAATGGAAATACTCATCAAAAGGTGTGTAGGTTTCTTCAAACTATGGTACTTACTGATGAAATGAGAGGCTCTCATGAATTGACAGCAAGAAGTTTCTTTTCCAAGCTGTATCACTAATGTTTATTGGCATGCATGACTTAATTGTTTACTGCAAGACCGTTTTAAATCTTCTTATTCGTACCTTTCGGATCGTTATATCTCTTTTTGCTCCAGTGATGTGATATTCATTTGAGAAACAAAATTACACAAAAATGTAACTCGCTTACCATAGATGGCGGGAGCAACAAGTGGAGAAGTGGAATCTCTAAGAAATCAAGTGCTTGGTAAAATCCTAGGAGAGCCCACACCCTTGGCGACAAACCAAAAAAGGCGCCAAGCCAGAACAAGATGGTGCCAAGCAAAAGCGACAATGGTGGCAAGGAAATATAGCGGGATAAAGTGGATGCATAATGAAAATATATGTAAGCAATACAGAAATTAAATATTTGAGATCAAAAATATAAAAACAGCACTTACTTTCTTACTGCTGATCTTTTCTGAGTGGAGGGGACAGCGTAACAACAAATTTTAAAAAAGTCTTAAGGGTCTCATTGCTAAGCGAATGATCGTGTGAACGCCGCCATATTTATTCTGCGAGGTAATGGTCGAACATACATTTGGCGTGGCTGGCACGATTTCGAAGAAAGTGTTTTATTGCCGACCATGTTACATCATGCTGATCATTATTACATTTAGGGCATTCATAACTCGAAGCAATCAATCCTTCCTTCATACACCATTCAATCAATTCTTTCTTACCTTTCGCATTCAACAAAGTAAAAAATTCTAAAGTAGATTCCCTCACACACGCAACCAGCCCGGAGACCAACAACAAAATGAAATTCGAAATGCGCACCCACAAAATACGAAAATGCTAGAAATAGTTAGGGTTGTCGTATGTAGTGTTTAAACGTAGGGTTACCAAGATGGCGCAATTATCGCCAACCAAAGTAATTTGCGCCAAGGGTGTGGGCTCTTCTAGGAGTGAACCAAGTGCTTTTTTTTTGCAAATTATATGCTTCAATGCAAATGATGCTTTAAAGTAGAGCGATTTTGTTTCCTGTAGTAGGTAAAATCCTTCTTGAGCAAACATTGTTCGAAGCCGTGATCGTATAGTGGTTAGTACATTGCGTTGTGGCCGCAATAACCCAGGTTCGAATCCTGGTCACGGCAAAGAATTTTGTTTTTACAAAAAATAATTTGTAGTGGATTTTTTTTACCTTACATCAAAACATGAAAACGGATACATATTATTAAACAATGAAAATATGTGGAAGGAGAAAATCACCATAATTGAATACATTCCGTTTAAAATCAAACAAACCTTAATTTTCAAACAACTTCAAATATTGGACAGTAGTATCAAAATTCTAACGTGAATCAGCAGGAAGAAAGAGATTCAAATTTCCAACATTCGGTTATAATGAGAACCAGACTACCATAGATTACAAATTTTGGGGGAAATAGCCAAGCTACTTTCACATTATTGTTTCAGTTTCACAAAAACAGTTATTAATTTAGCGATTTAGCGCGATGTTAAGACTAATTCCAAATCCTTTTTCACAGCAGATCTTGCTTGTGAGAAAAATTCCTTTATAGCTCTTTATACCTCTTTTTTTTAAAAAAAAAATACATATAAAAATAAACCTTAGGTATGTTTGTATGAAATATCTATCAGGCATACATAAAATAGTAATGGTCTGAAGCGTCAACAGTGGCGTAACGTACACCCCCACACTGCAGGGGGCAAAGCTACACTGATGCCATTAACGTAGAATTTCACAAAATTAAGTTTACAATTTTTTTACTTCAATTTTTTGAAGCGATTTTCAAATTGGCGATCTAACATCATTCAAAATCAAAACTTTGATCGCTTATTAGATATCTTAGATCCAATAACCAAATCGAAAAACATTTCAATTTGCTGTAATCCCCACGACGAAAGAGATGCTTTTTCT